GAAACCCAGCACAGCTCCAGGTCTCAACCCTGCTGCTGAGCTGTGCCCCCCCTCGCTTTAGCCACATCAGCAGCAACAGCACGAGCCGGAAGATCCTGCGCTTTGTGGATAAGATTGCCAAGTCCAAGTACTTCCAGAAGGCCACTGAAAACGAGTTCATCAAAAAGAAGATCGAGGAGGTTTCCAACACACCGCTGCTGCTGACGGTGGAGGTGCAGGAGCTGGCAGGCACCTTGGCTGTGAACATACCACCACCACCAACGGACCGTGTCTGGTACCAGCTCTCCTTCCTCCCACCCGGGGAACACACACGCATCCTCCTTCCAGCTCCCCTTGCTGCCTGCGGCTCGGCCGAGAAGCCAGCTCTGGGGCTTTGGGTGCAGCGGGGGTGCCAGCAAGCCAGGGCTGTTCTCCCAAAGGGACTCACAGACCTCAGGCTCATTTCTCCTAGTCTCCACCCAGGCCAAGACAGGCTCTGGGGACCCAGAGCTCCCACTGCAAGCCAGACACCTCCTCCCAGGAGGCGGGTCCCTAAAACCCAGCAGTGGGGCCACATGGGCTGTGCCACATATTTAGGACGTGATGCTTTCTGCCTCTTCCCTTTCCCCTCGCAGGTACAGCTTCCGAGTCCCACCCCAGCTGGAGCTGAAGGTGCGCCCAAAGCTGGGTGAGCGGGAGGTGACGTTCCTCCACGTCACCGAGTGGATTGAGAAGAAGCTGCAGCACGAATTTCAGGTGCCTCAGTCTGTTAAAGGGCTCAGCAAACCCTGCTGAAGCATTGCTGCGATCAGGGATAGTCAGACCGCCGTTTGGGCCAGGGCACTCTCTACAAAAAGCCAACATTTGATCTGGTTTGTCCAGCTTCAGGCAGTCAAGAAACACAACCTAAGTAACCGGCTCCCAGGGCTGGTGCGCTGGGCACTAGAGCGTTTGAGGAAAAGCGGGTTCCTCCCAGTTCCTCCCAGTATGTGCAGCCCTGCCCCAAGCAGGGGGGGACTGGGAGTGTCAGCAAGCTTGGGACATTTACCATCTCAAGGTACCCACTGGTTTGTTTTCAGCCTCTCACCTTTGAGGCCGCTGGTCAAAGAGCAGAAATGTCTCCAGAGATATTTAGGTGCCCAAATCCCCCCAGAATGCTGCCTGTTTGAATGGCTTCATAGGGCTGGTCCCTGCCCTCTGCCATGACCACCCTTGAAGCCACACACCGATCAGGTAGCAACATTCAAAATCACTTACTTGTTATTCTGAATTCCTCTTTTCAGAAAATTTTGGTGATGCCAAACATGGACGATGTCATCATTCCCATCATGCGCTCTGGCCTGGATCCTCAGCCACCCGCTGGGGGACTGCCCAGGGACCTACCGGCCAAGGGAGAGAAGAGGCTCTGAAGCGCAGCCCCTCGGGCAGGGCAGAGACACTGCACATGGCTCAGGGACCTCGCCGGGACACAGAGCCAGCCAGGGCCTGGCCACTGACTGCCCCCAGAGCTATGCCACAGGTCTGAGCTTCTCGGTTCATCTCATCCTCAGCACTTTTGTAGATGAGCCTCCTCCTTAAATACTGCAAGCAGACGTTCAGAGCAGAACCAGACCCAGGGCAAGGGGTTTGCTGGAGACCCAGGAACCTTGTGTACCTCCTACTAGGACTCCTGGGCAAGGGGGCAGCTCTGGGCCCCTGGAGGGCCAGGCTTTCCTCTGGCTGGTTCCCAAAGAGGGTGCAGGATGCCCAGACCCGTTCTGCACCCGAGTTGTGATCACCGCTGATCCAAGACATCACAGCTCTAAGAGACATCACACCTTTGCTGCAGGCAGCTGGACTGCAAGGAAAGCGTGGGTGGGAAACGAGTCCAAAATCTGAATAAACCCATCACTGGCCAGTCTTACCTAGCAGCCATCTTATTGTATGCAAGTTCCCACATCTGCTGAGGATACCGGCCGGGATTGCGGGGCTTTGTGCAGAGAGAAGGCCGCGGGTCATGCTTTCAGCTCCGCAAACGGAGTGCCTGGGTGTGCATGTGTGTGAGGCGGCGAGGGGAGAGACAGTCAGTGAGACTGGGGAGAGACAGTCAGTGAGACTGGGGAGAGGCAAGTAATGGGGAGGCCCTGGTACCTGCTCTGCTCTCCTCTACAAGAGAGGAAGGGGAGTCTTCACCGTCGTTTGGGTGAATGCAGGCAGTGGGAAAAAATTCACTGAGCAAGGGGAAGGGGGGATCCAGAGGACAGAGCAGACACTTGGCTGTCCCAGTCAGCCCCTGTCTGTACGGGCCAGTCCCAAGCGCTAATTGTCCCATAGTGGAGGCCCCATCCCTGGGAACATTCAAGGCCAGGTTGGATGGGGCTCTGAGCAACCTGATCTAGTTAGCAGTGTCCCTGCTCACTGCAGGGGGGTTGGACTAGATGACCACTAGTGGTCCCTTCCAACCCTAAACATTCTATGATTCTATGATTCTATCCCCACCTGCTGAGGAACCTCGAGGACACGCTGCTGCCTACAGGCAGCCCTGAATACAGGCAAGACACCCCTCCAGAAGGAAGACAGACAGCAGGCACGGCTTGAAGCTTTTTTATTGAAGGTGCCCAGTTAGGTAGCCTTGCATAGCTCAGTCCTTACAGCTCTTCCTGCACGCCTGGCTTCCCTTTCACCAAGTGTTTCTTCTGAGGGCCCTGGAAAAGAGCAGAGAGGAGAGCTCTGTTAGTGGCAGACAAACCTGAGCTACAAGGGTGCATCTGAGCTGTGCGGAGCAGAACTGCAGCTCTGGACCCTTTCTGCTCTGCAAAGGTGCTCCTGGTCTCTGTGCTCTCCAGTTGGGAGCTCTGTGCTGCCGTTCACCAGCCACGCCCGGGGCCTCCCTAGCCCTGCAGGAATCAGGAGCGGATCATCCTTGCCCTTGCACAAAGGGTTTGTTTATCTGGACAGCATAAAAGCAGCCAGAGAGTGGCAATGAGTGACCTGCTCCAAGCCAGGCAGGCTGGCCTGCAGTCAGGGGACATGGAGGGGAGCAGTAATTGATGCTACCAGGAGCCCACCATGGTGGAGCAGCTGCTGAGCTGGTGTACGAGCCCAGGAGGAGGCAAGGCCTCCTACAGCCAGAGGCACAGATTCTCATCAGCCAACTCAAAAGAGCCTGAAGGGTTTCTATCAGCTAAGAAATGGGAGTTGTCCCCCACCAAGTAAGTCCTTTGGGAGCAGAAGGCAAGAATTACTTACGTGCCTCTACTTCCAGCCAAATGTAAAGTTTTACCGCATTGTATGTGGGGGAAACTCTCACCCCACAGTAGAAAATGGCAAAGAAAACATCTGCAATCCGGTAAAACCACCTCCCGTCACTAAGATCCACGTCACAGCTACTCAGGACTTGCAGCGACAGCAAAAGCAGAATACGGAACAACTTCCTAACACCCAGATAAAGGAAAACAGCTTAACCTCTAAAGAGCTCTGCAAAGGCACCGCGTAGCCAATCCCCCTTCCCGGGGCTCAGGAGGCTTAGCCGGTTTCACATGGGATTTCTAGCTGACAGGCCAGAGCCAGACTCGGTTTATGCCTGCGTGGTATCCAGGCAGTTGTTTCTTTCATTTCTGCTAGCTGAAGGCCTGGCTTACTTAACGCTTCCTCAATTTCACATTCAGACTTCTGCACCAGCCTGGTGTAGGTTGCAAAACTATTCGAGAAACTCTGCTTGTTTTGGATTTATTTAATTGGGGTTTTTTGCCCTGGATTTAAGAAAAATATACTGCTTGGCCTTTTTGAAAGCTTCCTGACAAAAGAATTGCAAATTTGTGTCTGAATTTGACCCAACCTTTTCCTCTTAAGAACATTAAAGTTATAAATCATTCCAAACAAATCAAAGAAGTGCACAATTACGGGTGAAAGGGACCATATGTCCAAGGCAGTGCCTGCCAAGTTAACTGCTTGTTTAAAACATCCCGTGGCGAATGGAAACTGGTCGGCCATATGGTATAATATTTGCTGGTTGGGTTGTCTTGGATCACTCACACAACCATCATGTTCTTCCTCAGCATAATATTTGCTGCGTGAATTCAGTCCCTGCCTGTCTTTTACACAAGACGGTCCCGATCACTCATTTGGCTGCTGTTAGATTGAGAAGCAGATGCTTGGTTGGAATCAATCAGTTGTTTTAGCCGCAGCTGCGAGGATGGCCTGGGAGCTGGAGCCGGCACAGAGTGTAACTCACCATGAAAGCCCGCTTCTCCTGAGCTGTCTGGAAGCAGCCATGGCCGAACTTTGAAGTGGTATCAATGAATTTGAGTTCAATGGCTTCCTGAGCCCGGCGGCTTGTATGCACCAGAAGACTCTGGAAAAGAAGAGGCACAATGCATCAGGCTTATTGATACAGAAATTCTGGGCATCTGCTCCAATGGAAGCAGGGTTGAAATATCCTAGGTATACCCGTTAGACAAATACCTCCATGAAAATCTGCCTTCTCAGAGAAACACCCCGGTGCTCAAGTGGCAGGTGATACCTTGGATGGCAGAGCAGCTCTGAAACAAGCCTACTCTTCACTTAGCATTTCATTTGCTCACAATCTGTTTATGGCCAAGGTTTCCAACCCTGGCCCCCCCATCACAGCCCTCGAAGGCTTGCAGCTTCTGTCTCCAGAGAGAATGCATCCGACTGCACGCTGCCACAAACCGTCTGGCTCTGAATGGTCTCACTGAGCACCACGCTTATATGCCACGTGCCCTCTGCAAGACTGCATCAAGGACCCAACCAGCCTCCCTGCCCAGCATTTAGAGGTGGTGGTGTTCTCCACGTGGTGCATCTGTTCATGGAGAGCTACAGCCCATCCCTCCCCAGCACTGGCTTGCACTCTCACCTTACGGAGGGTGAGCACACGCTTCTTCGTGCCCACGACACAGCCTTTCAGCATGACAAAATCATTGTTGACCTCCCCATAGTGAGGAAAGCCACCCTGTGGGGAGAATCAGAAAGAAGGTTGGCAGGCAGGAGAGCTGGATGGGAGCAGACGTGTCCACAGGTGACATTTTCTAGGGAAGGAGAGGGTAGTGACTGACAGTCCTTCTGGCTAAGAGCACTCTGCACCCTTCAGGTTGCTTGCTCAGGACCACCGAAGCACGTCAGCCCTGCTGACTGCATGATCCCAGCTACGCAGCACCCCGTAGGAGCTGGGGAAGCAGCAACCCTGCTTCCTTCCCTGAAGGATGAGGCTGAACAGAGAGCAGAGCTGGCTAGACTCCCAAGTTAACAGTTTTTAATAAGAGAAAGTGCATTTTTAAACCAAGTAACAAGCATTTATCTATTAAGTATCAGATTTTTAATGTCATTTTTTTCTATTTAAACACAGTTCTCAGTTCCTGCCCAAGTTATCAGCTGAAAGTTATGTTTGGGTCTACCAAAGGGGCCTAAAAAAATACCTCACAGAGTTTGTTTTTCACATCCAAAACATGAGGAAAGGAACCACTGCATTTCTTTCAGTGAATTTCCTTCAAATCATTTCTTATGCAGCTGTCTCCAGCCAAGAAATTACTTCCCTGGCTAGGATTCCTGTAGTCAGGGCCAGTCACAGCCCTGTTACCACCCTCCTCAGCCCTTACCAGAGGCGTAATGGTCTTCTCCGTGACATCATAGTGCGTCGAGGCATTGTTCTTCACCACTTTGCCATCCTCCACGTGGATCCCATGACCAATGCGGTAAATCTAGGGACAGAAAGGAAATTGAGGTGGCAACTTTCCCACCTCCACAGGGAAGGATGTCACAGGGATGAGGCAGTTTTCACCAAGATGCGTCCCCTGCAATGTGTCCCTTGAGCAGGGAACAAGGGAACAGGGAACAATGGGGAAAGATAACAACAGCACTGCAGATCTCTAGGGAAATATCTGAGAAGCCACGGTCCAAAGGATGGTGACAGCACGAGAGGAAGGCAGGCAGGAAGGCGCAGTGGTGCTCTGAGGGAGCTCATCTGGGCCATACCTTCTTGTTGAGCTCCGTGCGGTGGTGGTAGCCCTTCTGGCCAGCCCGAGCGATGGAGTAGCCAACGCGGGCCGGGTGCCAGGCTCCGATGCAGGCAACTTTGCGCAAGCCCTTGTGTGTCTTCCTGGGGAGCTTCTTGGTGTGCCAACGGCTCGTCACCCCTGGAAGTGTGACCAGAGAGGGTGGTGAGAACACCAGGGAGATTCAGGGCTGGTGTCTGAGTCCTGGGCAGGGGAGAGCCTCATCACTCTTCTGCAGTTCTCAGAAGATGCCGTGTTGGAAGGAGACCAAGAGCTGTCACCACCATGAGAGGCCAGAGCACAGAACTGTTCTCACTTCCCATGGATTTGATCAGACTGTGATATGTTCAGGCTGAGCACATCCACACACACGCACAGGAACACCCACACCTCTGCACACGAGGGGTTTGTGAGAAGTGCAGTGGCTTTACATACTCACAGCGCCTCTGAGCCTCCTGTGAGGACTCTGGGCACAGTCGAAAACATGGCCTTTACTGAGATTAGGGAAACCAAGCTCTGCTACAATGGACCTGCATATAATGGTTGAGGTCCAGAGGCTCTTTGATACTCCCTGTGCGCAATAGGTTGGTGGGTTCTCAGCATGGCTAATACTCCCCTCCCCCAACACCACCCTATGGGCAGCGTCATATGAGAAGGACAGAATCAAGTCCCTGGCAAGGGTCTCCTTGCCCAGTACCTTTCATCCCATGTCCCTTGGTCACGCCAATGACATCAATCATCTCGTTCTGGCTGAAGACATTGTGCACGGAGACTTGCTTCTCCAGCCTCTCACGGACCCAGTCAACCTTGTCAGCCACTGTCCCACCGTTCAGCTGAATCTCCATCACGTGGGCCTTCTTCTGCCGCAGCGGCAGCAGCTTCATCTGCATTAGACAATGCATGAACATGAATGTGAGGGCAGGGCTGCATCACCCACCACTTGAAAGGGGCACAAAGGGTGAGCACGTTCAGCTCTTCACCAGCTCTATCACACTGTCAACCCCTTTCATAACAGCCAGCGACCCGGGTCAGCATGCCTACATATCTCTTGGACCCAACTCCTTGTCCCTGAGCCCAGCCACCCCATTTCCCAGTGCTCCCATTCCAGGCAGCAGCTGATGCACACCCTCTCTCCAGAGAGCAGAGAAGCAGGCCAGCCTCGTCCTACCCCAAGAGTTAAGCACAGTAGTAACAGCCACGGTAGGTGCCCCAGAGGAGCCCACCACCAGAGCCCCATCTGAGGCTGAACACTGCAACCAGCCAGGATGCAGCTTTGTGCTCCAAGCCAGAGCCAGTGCCTCTCCTTTGGTCATGCTCCACCTCTGCTTCCAGACTGAGCAGTTATTCCTAGTTCCCACCAAGAGGTGCCTCCGCTCTCTCCCAGTCCCTGCTCCCTCTGCAAAGCCCCTGCCAAATTGCAACAGCGGGACTTTGAGGGTCTGTGCCAGCCACAAGTGAAGCCTCAAGCCAGCTTTGCGCTGCCCCAGACCAAAGCAGACTTTAACTCCAGGGATCAGCATGGAAATGGGCCCTGCGTATCCAGCCATCAGCATCTGGCAAAACAGTGCCTGCCCATGGGTTATTTTTGCCCAAACATTTGATACCAGTTGCTAATTTGAGGTGATCATGGGGCCTAAGGTCCCTTGCTGACACAGGGTTCACCACCTGCTGAGACTCTGCACAAAGTCTGCTCTCCTCCAGGGCATGTGTGGCCTCCCCGGCCACAGCCCCCTCCGGCAATCCCCAGCAGCAGGGAGCTCTGCTGAGCCCGGCTCAAAGGGACAGGACTGGTGTCAGGAGGTAGCTGGAAAAATCGGCCAGCACCTCCCATCGCCTGCACACCCTGTCCTACACCTTCTGACCAGCATCTGCCTGCGCAGCCTCCTGTGACCCCAGCAAGACACCCCCATGATCCTGGCTCCCAGACCCTCACCACGCTCCCGAGCTGAGGAAGACCCTGAGCCCCCCTTGCCCACCCCCTGGGGTGAGGCTCTGACCTGCGTGTGCACAATGACACGAATGACTTTGCAGTACTTTTTCATCGCCGTAAAATCCTTCTCCAGCTGCCTTTTGCCATCTTCATCCTGCCATTTTTTGCAGTACTTGGTGAACGCCTTCTTCTTGCTCTTGTGCCTACGACAAAAGTGTTGAACATCCAGCAGAGCTGAATGGTGAAGTACTTCTGAGTTTTGCTGTGCCCTGAGACAGAGCAGCGTGGGGGGACAGAGCACTTTGCCAGGCGCTCCCCTGGAAGCACGAGGTACCTGTGGATACCTGAGCCTCGGCTGGCTGCCAAGGCCACGACACAGGGCTTTGCAGTGGGAATAGGAAAAGTGAATAATGAGTTGCAAAAAAGGGCTGGTAATTCAAACCTTTTTGCATGAGGAATCCAGTTGTCTCCCACTGACTGGCTCAGTGCCATCAAAATACAAGCACAAAATCATAGCTAAGTAGAGAAAGGAGAAAACAGCCTTCAACAGGGATCAGAGACATGTGGTGGGTGGATCTCAATGGCACTTTTGCAGGAGACACGATTCCTACAGTTATGAAATTCATGTTTCCATTTTCCTCTCTGCTGGTGTGGGATTTGGGGTGTTGATGTTTACAAGGGCCAGGGGTCAGATTCTGCATCAATTTTCCCCCTGAAAAATATCTGGTTTTACTCCCTTCCTTTGGTGCCTCAGCTCAAGTATTCTGGTATAATGGAGAGTAGATGAGACCAACCTACACAAAGGAAAACGAACCTGCAGCCTGTGCTGCCATATGATATTGCAGAGAGAGCTAACTTAGTTTGACTATTAGAATAAATTTGGACATGCATATGCTGATTCCCAGCATCAAGCTGTTTGCAGTATCTCTGTGCATGACTAAATAAACAGCAGTTTCACTCCACCTCAGAGCCAGCTGCCACTAGCTGAGCTGTTTGCAACGGCTGGGCATCACAGAGAGCCTGTGGGGAAGACCTGCGAGGGGCTCCCCACTTGCAGTGCCCCAGGGACCCTCCCCAGCCACGGAGCCTTGTACCAGTTCTTGTAGAAGCGCCGTCGGCATTCATCGCTGATGTGCTCAGCAAAAACAGTCTTGAAATTCCTCAAGCCCTTTGGTGTTTCTATGTACCCCACGACCCCCACCACCACCATTGGGGGTGTCTCAATGATGGTCACAGCCTCCACCTCCTCCCTCTTGGAGATCTCTGTAAGAAAGCGAAAGGAAATGGTGCTCAACACCATGTAGGATCAGATCATTCCCTGGAGCCATTCGCGGCAAAGTGTTGGGGGCAAGGTCACACTGTTCTCACAGCCAGCCTCAGCCTTTCCATCTCCCACCTGCTGGAGGACCACACAGGGTCTGATCCCCAGACATGGAATGGGTTAGACCCTGTGGCCCAGCACACTTTAACCCATCCTCCCCAGGTTGGGGGAAGCAGTACATCAGATGGTTCTTGCCCTGGAGTTTGGCTCCAATCCTGTGGCCATCCTGGAGGGTAACTTTATAAACTTCCCCAGCAAGATGCTTTAAGCCCAGGATTTGTCAGGTAGTTGCCCCGCAGGGTCCTTCTGCCAGCAGGATCCAACAAACCACCAGTTACCATACTGGTGTGAGGACTTCCCAGAAACCCGCAGACTCAGGTCACACTGGCCATAAGGTGGCCTTTGGCCATCCAAGATCTGTATGGCATTACACGAGATAGTCTGGAAGCTATGTGCCCCACCACCCATCCCTAGGAGCAGCCTTTCCCACCAAGAAGTCTATTCCCTCATTTCCATCCTGGATGTGGCTCCCCCCTTCTATCAGCCAAGCCTTACTGAGCCCAGGCCTGTGCACCTCCCGCACAGTGTGGGTCATGCCAGCTTTGTAGCCCAAGAAAGCCGTCAGGTGAACTGGTTTGCTGGGATCATCCTTGGGCCATGTCTTCACCTTCCCTCGGTGGCGACGGCTTCTCTTGTGAGGGAGGAAGCCCAGGTGGCCATGCCTGGGAGCAGAGAACTTGCGATGGGACTGCGGAGAGGAAGAACAAAAAAGATCAACTCCACTTTCAGGTCCCCAAAGACGCCAGGACCCAAACTACAACAGGAAATCTCTCCCTTGACATCAGTGAATGCTGGAAGGATTCAGGGCTCTTCCTCAATTCCAACATGACAAATAGAACTCAGAACAGGATGGGATTTTGTTCAAGCTTCCATCATGTGCATGGAAGAATTTAGTAAGTTTCTGGACAAACGGTGCCAATTAAAAAAAACTTAAATGTAATCTCCCTCCTTCTGCTTGAGGATTTTGAAGGAGAAATGCGTGCTTTAATAGGTCTGCCTGTCTGTGGTGTTAATTATAACGGCTTATTTTGTATTCTGCAGCACCAAAAGGGCCTGCTCAGAATTCAGGGGCTTCATGTCGTCAAGGCATATGGCACCAAACAAGCACAGCTAACGATCAGAAGAAACGGGAAAGAACGCCCAAAGGAATCACTAATAAGAACATGCGCAGGTTAAATATGCACCTTGAAAACCAAATTAGAAGAGCTAAATATATAAACCCCAATCGCAAGGTCACGCTGAGCCCAGCAGAGAAAAGCAAGGGCACTTTAGAGACACGGACAAGTTCTCACACAATTGGCTTCAAGGCAGGGGAACCGGGGCTCAGCCCAAGCAGCCAAGGGTTAGTTCTGCACTCGCTGCTGCTCCCTCCCTTGCCGAGATCAGTCCCGGCACCTGGCAGCGCTTTCCACCGAGCTTATTTTCCAGCCCAAGTGGTGTTCTGTTGAGTTCAACCCCGTTTCAGCTGCACAAACCCAGCCCTGCTCGCTGTCCCGCTCCGCACAATCGAAAGGTAGCAGCGCCCAGCTCTACAAACCATGGGACGTCTTCCCCAGGTCAGCCGCAGAAAGAGGCTGGCAGTAAGTGCCTCCCCAGCCTAATACTGAACACGATTATCTGTCTGAAGACACAAATTTAGCTCCTAGCTTCACGCGCTGCTATATTCATTTCATACTCAGCCAAGCTGGCAGGTTGGGCGTACCAGCCGCGGTGTGGTAAAGGTCAGTCACTGGTGTCTCAGTTTACACCTCTCCCTCCTAAACAACGTGAAGGCGAAGGGCAGGAATTAGAAATTAGGATTGCTTCCTAATGGGGCACCACACACCCAGAGCTGCCAATGCCCGCTCCGGGCACCCTGAGCTCGCTGCAGCCGGCTGCTCTGCATGGACCCAGACTGAAAACCCCTCCATCGGCCCAGGAGAGAAAGGCTCTACGACCTTGACCAGAGAACGGACCGAGGCGATAGATGCGACCGAGGCCGGGCTCTGCTGCCCTCCGGGCCGCGGCCTGAGGCCATTTTGACCGCGGACTACAGCTCCCAGCAGGCAGGGAGGACGGCGGCGCACGCGCAGAGCCGCG